CATTTATGTTACACATATGCCCGTCTGTGTTCGTATGCGTTCATTTGCGTGGTATTAAGGCAGCATATGTTGTACTTGATGGTATCAGTTATTGATGTTATTATTTGTATTATTCTAATATCATTATTAATAATACTGATTGTTATTAATAAGAATATGGTACCCTTCATTAATAGGTATCATCGTCATTATTATTAATGGAAACGCTGTATACAACTTAATTGGTTAAAGTTGAAAGCAAATGTAATATCAACAAAAAGAAATTATATATATATATATATATATATATATATATATATATATATATATATATATATATATATATATATATATATATATATATATATATATATATATATATATATATATATATATATATATATATATATATATGTATGTATGTATGTATGTATGTATATATACATGAAAGGGCGAAAGTGACGGCTATTGAAACGAGAATCCCCGTCACTCATTTATGCGTACTAGGTAGGGGTAAACGAGGCAAATGAGTGTGGGTAACTGGTCTGGCTATTGAGGGTTAATGCTAACTATATCAATGAATGCATGCTTATATGTACGAATGAAAGTCACCTCTAACTTTATTGTTAAAAGAACTGAATTAGATGTACAATAGAAAAGGCTGTTCGGAAATGACCGTTGCGAACCCACGAGGAAAGTAAGGGAAATGAGAATAAGAAGAAAGAAAGAATGACATAATTCATGTAACAATAAATGGTGGTGCAAAATGAAGAAGCACGGGAAATTAGATGCAAAGAAAATGGAACGTGTGAACGAGGAAAAAAAAAGAAAGAGATAAAAAAGTGGCAACTCAAGTGTTAGCGAACGCCCCTAAGCAGGAGAGTGGCGATACTCCTGGCTAGACGAGCAAACCGCTCACCTGCGATGAGGGCTGCCTGTGGGAACCCTTGCCTTCGACGTCGTGCCTCGTAAATAAAAACCTCGGTAAGGAAACACTACTGTGGAGAGAGATAATCCCGTGTGACATAAAATTGATTAAAATAAAATGAAATAGTAGTGTCAAGACACATCAGCGATACGGTCTCTTTTTCTCTTAGGGACCTTGAGCGCTGCTCGACACCGCCACCGTCGCCCGCAGCACCGGCAGGAGGGCCCGGGGTTTTTCGCCTGGGATTGGCGAACGCGGAGAACGCGACGGATCGCAGTTTCCCGATAGGAGTGGGGACTCTCCTGCCTACCCCCGCATATAGTCACGCGCCCCCACCGGCGTAAATGGATTGACAAACAGTGATAGAAAAAAACATAACATACTCAAAACTCTCCCTCAAATGGTGGTCACGTGAGAACAGTTACGGTGCTTGATTCCTTGTTCGTGTTAGTATTTGGCTAAGTTTATGTTAACGATGGATATAGTGTGTTTATAGTGTGCTTGGTGTGTGCGTGTGTTGGGTGGCCCGCGGGTGTTATTTGTGTGTGTCAGTAGCGTAGCTTATTATATTTTTGATGTTCCAAGGTTACAAAGTTGGTGTTACATATGATTAATAAATTAGAATTATCGTTAACGTTTTCTTTCACCCGTGTTATTATTCTAAAAAAAAAAAAAAAAAAAAAAAAAAAAAAAAAAATATATATATATATATATATATATATATATATATATATATATATATATATATATATATGGATGTATATATATATAAATATATACTTATATATGTGTGTGTGTATGAGTGTGTGCGTGTGTGTGTATATATGTGTGTGTGTGTGTGTGTTTGTGTGTGTGTATGATTTCTTTTCTTTCTTTTACCTTACTGCTAATTGTTAATATTCTTTACTCTTTATTCCATCGGCTGTAACAGTCATCTTTACATAAACATAACTATATATTTGTCAACATATTAATTTTCTTAAAAATTATATCCACTTCAACATTTCTTTGAATAATTTCAGTACTCTCACGATGTGCTTTTATAACAAATTAATGTCTTCAGTTAGTTTGAAATATCCGAACTATTTTAGGTCTTCCCTCAATACTGTTAGCTGATTAAAATGTCAAATGACATCTAATGCATAAGATAATAAAGAAGAACAAATCTCTGATATTCACACTGGTAATTCAGTCACTTTTTATATTCAGATGAAGTTAAGCGCAGTTTATAATGTCATATGTAAAGAGATACTTATCAATACTGGTTTATCAAGCTGACCTCTCTTTGCTTCCATGTGGGTTCCTGACGCCCCTTCATGCACACACATGTGTGTGTGTGTGTGGGGGGGGGGTAATGCTTAAATTAAAAATAAGATTAAACACGAAGATGTATATCAATGAAACCCAACTTAGTAAACCAATTTACTTAGTAGTTTTAGCTTTCACCTCCCTACCACACCCTTTTGCCTCACCGCCTCGCCAGGCCTTTCCATCGCGCGCGGGGGGGGGGAGCCGAGGCTCTAGACCCCTCAGTAAATGGATTTAATTGCCCGTTCATTTTTCTCAAGAGGCAGCAATCAAAAATAATGTAGG